TCTAAATTACGTTAAGACGCTGGAAATAATCAGCTTATGCGGCGCAGCGCCGCGCAGCACCGATGAAAGCGTCGAGATTTGCGTGCGTGTTTAGCGCGGATTTCGGTGTCGCCGCCGCACGCTGTATCGCATCATACGAGGCATTTTCCGATTGATATCATGTGGATACAAGCCTGCGGCCGCTGCCAGCGGGTGTAATCATTGAAATAAATCGGGCAGATGATGCATATCAAAGAGATCTTGCCGGCAAACATGTGGAAATGGAGCGGATTTCAACATGTTACTCTAGGTTAAATTTCAAACACTACTAAAACACTAAATAAGAGTTTAATTCTTCAAAAGCAAATTTAATTAGATTGCTGATTAAATGATTAATACCTGTGTGTAAAAAATTAATGTCACGCTCTACATTATTCCAGGCAATCTGAGTGTGAGTATTAAATTACTGCACTTGTATAACACACACGTCCACTCTTCCAGTTGTCCGCCATTTAAATAGCGATAACTGCCAACTATGAAGTGCGCCGGCTAGCGCACTAACCGGATAACAAGCGCTTAAAACGCCCGCAGGGTGTTCTTTTGATGGACATTATCGGCGGTAATCTGGGCGCATTTTGCGACGCGACGCCAACCGCCTTTCTACCACCTTCGTCGCTGTCGTAATGACCGTTCCTTCATTCCTTCACTTAATTAAATGAATATTCATAAGTCGTTGTTTTGCATTGTTAGCATTCGCTAACCTCAGACCGAATGTCACCTTTTAACAAATAACTGAATTGCAATTTCAGTAATGTCTAGACATCATACATTTTTATCAACGGGTTAATGAAAATGCATAAATCTTAATAAAACCATGCAGCACTCAAATAATTAATTTATTATAAAGAATGACACGAAAATTGGCAGTAAAATAAATGGTATTAGCAGGAATGACTTGACACATTCTTGTTTTTGTATGCCTTGTGTTATTTTATGTTTTTGCGGTTGTATGGTGATAGTATGTTGATGTTTTTACAGCAAATTTCCCACTAGACTTTACCGACGACCCTTCAACCGCTTGGTTGAGGCTAGTCACTGAATAAAACACTCTGCAAAAGTTTTGCTATCCTAGTCTAAGAGGGTTTTTGTCTAAAGTTAGGTTATCCTTTATAGTTTGTCACAACATTATAGTTATATAATCTATAGCAATGATTATAATATTATTATAGTATATACTTTCAATATAGGTGAATAAGTGATAAAAGTTGGTATTTATTTAGTAAATTTCGTAAGAAATGTAATATTTTATTAAAATAATAAATTATTCAAAATTGTAACACTTGGTATGATGAATGTCGGATAGCAATATGTTTGGATGGTCATAAATTTCGTAATGTACTGGGGGTGTAATGACAGCGACAATGCCCACGCACCCCAACAGTTGTTCTTGCTTATTGTAGAGCATAAATCATTCCATTTTTTTACATATAAATAGCTTTACGTAATACGTACACGTACCGAAAAATTTTTTTCTACTTTTACCTTTAAAACGTCAGTTTTTAACGATTTTAAGACACAGAAAGTGTATTTTAACACGAATGGTCAAAGTTGTGATTAAAGTACTTTAGTTACGGGCTTTAGTCACGGGGAGGAGCTTGCCCCGGCGCATAAATCGTTATTACTTCAGATATGCTTTAAAATTGTATTTAATTTAAATAATAATATCATGCACGTGATGATGTCAAAGAATAATTTCTACTTTTTCCATTGCAATTATTATCAAATAATATTCAAATAAAATGAGGCGTGTTCCAGTCGAGAAAACATGTTTCTCTCGCCTCTGTGCATCTACGTGTGTCTCTTCAAAACGTACTCATCTCGTTAGTCGCTGTTTCGCATAATTCCAAAATACATTTCCAACGTATTGTTCACCGTCAGCAATAAAGGATACAAATAAAACATTAATGAATTTGCCCTGGCCTCGGCCAAATTGCGAGCCAAATGCTATATTATATATTAAAATGAAAGCCAGTGGCGCAAACGCACCGGGAGTCTTTTGTGTGCGCTAATTGGTATTCCGGTGGCGCGGTGAACATGAAACATATCGGCGGGTCTTTTTCCATTTACAACTTGTATTAATACCATGATTAACGCCGTGATAAAATTAAACTTTTCATGTCACACGAAACCTTCAAAATGTTCACATTTTCAATTGAAATTGCGAAAACATAAAGTTAATTATTATTTAATTGTCAAAAATTTATTTTGTAACTTTTTTGTATCATTAATATTTGCAGCATTGTTGACTAGGTCGGGGTGCAATCCAATATGACCTCTCTTCTTTTCCACTGGCGTTCACGTTCGTAAACCTTCCGATGCTTGCCAATCGATAAACTTTTATTATATCTATACATTAGCCCCGGGGCACAGCGTGCACAAGAGTGACGAATATATCGTATATATTGCACAAACTGGAATTAAATTAACTTTATTGCCGGTTTGCTTTTACGATACGCCCGCTGAAAAATTATATTTTTTCATCGCTGCGCTTAGATTTGGCGCATCCGAAATTCACTCGTCTTTTACGGCGGAACATTAGCCTTCGATCTTGAGCCGGCAGCCGAAAGTACGCTTGACGTGTTTGCGCTGATGATAAGAAGACCGTAAAAAGCAAACTTTCCTAAAAATTATAACGCTAATAAAAATACGGCACTAAAATATAAATATTACCATTTTGTATCAGCGACGTCGCAAAAACTTCGTATGTGGAGTAGTTTTAAAATAAAATTTCATCGGTTTACTTGGTTGCGCAGTGAGCATTAAATATGAACGATATCTGGTCGCCTGGTGACCTTGTCGCAACTTTCAACCAAACACCCCCACACATGTGAACGTGCTGATAATACGCCGACGCGACAACTGATTTGCAAACGCGACGAGACTTTTTGCTCGTGTCTAAACCATTATCACATGTTGGCAGGGCCACTCGACTAATACTACAACAGACATTTTAAGCCCTCGTGGAATATAATTCTCATCATACATTATACAGATAAATATATATGTAGTTAATATTTAATTCAGTTTCGGAAAGTTGAGCGCGGAAAAAAATGCATTTCTACACTTTTTGCTTGCATTGATATTATTCCAAGTACCTGCCGTGTATAGTCACTACCGCAACGCATAACGAGTCCATCCATCATCGATGCAGACTCGTTCATGTTCCTCCAGGCATAGTACTTGAATCATTTTCTACCTGTTCAGCGAGTTCAACATGTTCATTCCGAACTCGAGCCGCGCTCTTCAGCGGCGTATATCATTTCAACTGCTGGCATCGTTCCGATGATAAGCACACACTTACAACACCCACTACTTACCGCCTGACTACATGTATCTGCAAATATATCTCTTTTACATAAAGTGTATCTATTGATTTCTTCGGTATGGAAACAAACTGTATGTAGGGTATTGTTATTTGATTACTACCGTGATTCTACACTTCAATTTAGATGGATTAGCGTGAGTTACAAAACTAATGTTATTAAATTTCAATATTTAGTCCTTGGTTTTATTGATATTGCATTTTACTTGAATTAAGAACGTTAAAAATGAATTTTTGTGTTTTTTGTGTTTTAACTGCTTGAATAAAGGAATATTTATTGAAAATGATATGTGTTGGTCCACATGCTTTGAATGCAACATTGTTTGCAAGTTTTCGACCACAATTGATGAGAATGTAAGCATAAACTTCAAAGCAAATCACTTGGTCGCCGAGCACGTTTTCGTTCAACGCCTCTAATGCTTGAATTGCACAAATAACAACAATGCAGCTGTACAAAGCCTGAAATTCAATTATAAACGCATCTACTCAACTACAATTCAACAGAAATATACAATTGTTACCATTCATTGCTAATATTTTCTCTGTTAATAAATAAAAACGATTTTCGAACAAATTTCTGAGTATTTATTAAACATTTACAAAAATCAGTAACAACAAAATCAAATCTTTTGTTTACGAGTTTAAATTACAAACAAGTTGATAGTATACAAAAATTATATTCTTACAATTTGTTAAAATATGCAAAATGTTCATTTTTACACGTATTTAAAAAATAATAATTAATTTTTTTACATTTCCATCTCATGCGCCATGTAGCGCGTAAATTTTTTTGGCATTCATTCCCTTGGATAACATATTAAATTCTATCCGCAACGCTTAATGATAAAACAACATTTAAAATTTTAAAATAACAGGCTCATACTTAGAATAATAATATAGGTTATTATTGTTGTTTTGTGTTGGATTTATTTTATAATACATTTACATTCATAATTTTTGTTTATTATCAATTAGCTATCTATGTACAATATCCTCCGAATGTTGATTCTCATTATAACCCCAATAGTCCTGCCCTGCATTCGTTTTCCTTCAACTATCAACATTAAAATTAAATTATGTATAATTCAACTTTACAACTTGTATCCGCTCTTTTGTTCACGCCGCTTCTGACACTGTGTTTCTTTCGTTCTTTATTCAAATGCTGTGATATTTACATGTTATTTACAATTGCTACAAGTGCGTGTTTGTCGGCGGGAGTTCAACATCGCACAATCCTTTGAATTCACACTGCGCTGTCATGTCCTTTAGTCTTTATTCTTGGGAATTTTTCTTTCGCTCGCTTGCCTTCAAATATAGCTATATGTATATAATTTGTAACTCTTGTTTTATTTTATTCATATAAATGATATATCACTTTTTTATACATCACATTCACGAGTAGTATAAACATTTATGCGTCGCACTGATGATGATGACGACGACGATGGCATCATGTAATCAGTGCGCTGGTCATCAGCGTCAGTAAGTTGAAGAGGAGACAGTTTGTTGGTGTGAATGTCGATCGTGGACTTGTATTGGCATGTTGCATTGCAGCTGGTTTTCTTCTAGAAAAGATAAAATATCCTCGTATTAATACAGGAATAAATCATCAATTTATTTTTAGTTCAGTCCGATACGTTTAGATGGCGCTCGTGGTAAAACCTGTCATTTTAAAATATCATAACCTAGTTTTAATGTCTTTCTAAGCAATTTTATGCAAAGAAAAATGATTTCCTTAAAACCTAGCAGTTAAAATCTCAGGAGAAAAAAGATACCATCAAGAGGTATAATCGTCTCTCTGTATTATTACTGGAAGGAAATAATGAACGTTTTAATAGTCGCGATTTTGTTAACTACAGACTGCTGCTACGACGAATCATTATACGTCGTGCGCTTGCACTCGCGACACTCTTTAATGTTCTATGATATAATTAATGTCACGTTTATAGTGTTAACTATTATTTTTAATTGCCGGCACTAAAATTCTTCACGATAACTTTATGTCTTCATTAGCACCGTTTTGTTCAAGCCGTTAATATTCATAGCTTTCAAGTCGATTGCCTTTCCTTAAAAACATTAAGGGAATTAAAGGAGAAAAAATGTAAAACAAGTGAGTGTTATTTTAATGTGAGTTCAGATTCAACAATTAAACGGATTTTGCATTTATGCAGGTCGAAAAATCAAACAAGACCGTCATTGCAGTTTAATGTCGCAAGGAAATGGCGGATCGTTAATGGTGTGCGACACGGCGACGCTTTTATGCTTTCGTCGATTGATCGAGTTTGCTGCACATTTTCGTTTATGACATAATTGAGTTGTAATCACCTTGTTTTTTTTACCCTCGACCGAGTAATGTCGCTTTCTATTATCACGCTTTGCTGACCTGCTAAGTGATGTTGCTTTGCGGAATTCTCGAATATTTTCGTGATTCCAACATGCAATCTGATTGTTACCCGTCTAAAAATAAGCACAAATTGCTAATTCCTTGGTTGAATAAAAAAAAACTTTTAAATGCTTAATATTGCATTTAATTATTGAAAATTTGATTTTGTGACTGTAAATCTTTTAGTTTAATATTGATTTAATTCTGCTTTACAGTAAATTAAATAGTTTGTTGTGAAAACGTAAATAAATTACCTGCGGTTGCGTTGAGCACGTGTACATTAATCGACGCCGGAATGGCTTTCGAAGGACTGCAGGTGTAATTGCCGTTGTGCGTTTTGTCGGCGTCCTGCAGCAGTAAAATGCTGCTGCTGCGATCGGCAATCACCTGCACGCCCTGATCGTAATTAATCATGCGCTGCTCATGATACCAAAACACGTACGATGGCGGTTCCGTCGACTGCCGCAGGGTGCACACCAAACGCAGCGACGAACCAGCTCTCAGGTGTAAATCAGGCGCTCCGAGAATTTCCGCTGACGCCTCTGAAATACCAACAACAACGCACTGTTAAATATATTTCGACAATAAAAACACAACATGTTTTGAGTGCGCGGTATGAATTCGAGAGGTCAAAGGGTAAATAACATGGGTAAAGACGATGTGTCAGTTGCAGTCGTCGTTTAATTACGTCGACCACATAGTGACAGTCGTGACATGGAGTTCATAACCGCCGGTCGCACCCTCCACTGCTGCCGCCTGTCAGAACTTCCTTTGAGTTGCTCCCGCATCCATTCAAGCATCACCCGCGTGTATATATCCTTGGACCACCCTCGCATATCGTGTTATATCGTAATACCAAACGCGCACCGAGCACAATACGTCATTGTGAAGATGTGTGCCCATCTGATGCGAGCTTATCCTTTTATCCACGTCAAAAGTCACACACACACACATGACGACAATCCTCTCTAATCTGGCCAGTGACGAACTCCTGAGTCCAAGCTGCATTTTATTACAATTTTAATTAAGAAAATTACTTGTCTGTTGCTTTTCAACGAAAGCTCTCGACTCGCTTGGAGTGTAATTACGCAATAAACTAGCCATATAATTACACACGAAACTTTCGCTGCATGCAGCCAACTCGAATGCGTTGAATGGGAATAAATGGAATGTAATTTTAGATGACGTGGGTAATTTGAAACGTTGCCGGTATAATCAAATGCGAACGCATACAACAATTCATAAAGTGTATTGGATTTACTTTTTATTCATTACCTAACACTTAAATATTTTAAATTAATTTTTGCTCTAAAGAAGTTTCTACTTTAAGAATGAACATCTGGCAAAACAGTTTGTCTCTCAAGGACTTTGAAGCTGTGCAAAAACCTCCTCCAATGTGGTAAAGACTAAAATGCCGCAAGCAATGAAACTAGGATTCTTGCTGCAGCGAAATTAAATGTTTTTCTCTTCCAACTATTTAATGTGGAAGCAAATTGTACCCGACAGCGTCAAATGCACTTTCTTAACAATATTAAAACATAACCTCAGCGTTCACGTTTTTAATCGCCCTTTATTCTGGGCTATTTTCGGTTTTTGCTTGGTGTGTGACCTTTTCTATATTGTGATTGGAACATTCTGAAAAGTGATTGCCCAGAGGGCAATATTTCACCCACGTGCATGACTCCAAAATCGAACAAACATGGGAGGTGGCAGGGCACTTATGAGCCGCAGTCGCCGTCCCACTTTGAGGGTGATTGCTTTCGGCAGCGCACCGGATGCACGCCGGAGTGAGGTAAATTGATTTCGGACGTGTAATGAACACGGTAAATATCAACACCGTTGCGGTTACGTCCAGTCCGGAACAAAACTTTGCTGAAAATGCAAGATTTCCAAATATAGAAATAGAAACATTTTTTGTTGTCTTTCCACAACACTTTGTATATGTGATATTTGGAAGCCTAAAACAAAAACTCAACCAACATATGTGGTTGGAAGTAAATTAGTTTGTTTTGCTTCGGCAAGGAGTTTTACGTTTGCGCTGTCTTTAATTTCTTTCCGGTCTTTTTCGCTGCCGATTCCTCTCGACTAACTTCATTGCCGCGGTCGTTTTGTTTTCAGGTCTGAGTAGCTTTTTTCGACAATGTGTTTTCGAGCGCTGCAGGCATACTTTCAGACCGAATCTATATGTGTTTAGGTGTATATGTGCTAAACGAGAAAACGTGGTGACAGCCAGGGAACGAGTGAGTGTGGCTGTGTCGTTAAATACCTGTGACTTTGAGCTCGAGGAAGATGCTCGTCGGGGGATGTGTGGAGACTTGGCACTCGTAAAGACCGGCGTCCGAGAATTGAACGTGCTTTATCAGGAGACCCCAATTCTGCAAATGCCTGACGTGTTCGACCATGAATCTGTCGTCGGCGCTGTACGTCGTCAATCCAACTGTTAATAAGTGGTAATCGTGCTTTCTTATCCAGGATACCTGAAATAAAATATTTTAAATTACCAAAAATGTTGCATTTTTAAATAAATACAAAAGTTGAAATAAAAACACTGCATTCGTCGATATAAAGCTAATGTTTTTGTTTAGAAAAGCTCTTTGCAAAGCGCACGACGAGTGATTCTTTCCCGTTTTTATTTCGGTTATTTTTGTTGGCTGGTGCGCTTTCTTTTCGTACACCGTTCATTATCCTTTGGCCTTCTGTCCGACTGACAGGGTTTCGCACAGGTCGGGTATAAAATAACAGCCCTGCGAGTACTTTGTTTTGCCCGAACAAAGAAAATTACGCCGAGCGTGTACAAATGTGGTTTCGCGCTGGACGCTATGTGTATGTGTGTAAATCAAACGAAAAAGACCATCGGAGAAACCTTATCGTAATGTACGTCATTACGATTTGTACATTTTTCAAACCAGACACACAATATACGCACGGGAGACAAAAAATAAATAAAATAGAACAACAAGCAAGCGATTGTGTGGTGAATGTCTATATTTCACACACCTGAACGCATTTTCAGTACATATGTGAAATGTGTGCCCGAAATGGAAATACGAGAACAAAAAGTTTGCAATCGAAAGCCTCCCAGAGCGCGTATCTGACGGGAAATTCGTAAAACCAACCGAGATAATCTAAATTACTTTTTGAATAAAAATTAAAATACTCAGAATTTCCATGATGCAACAAAGATTGCATTTTTTGCATCAAAATTTCAGTATATTTTTGTTTATTTTGTATAAACCTCAGGCGTTTATTGGTTTCCAAACTTCAGTTCGAAAAATAATCAACAATATTTTTGTTGAATTGTTTGCTGGCCTAGACAACAAAAAGGAGCAAGTTTTTTGGTAAACAAAAGCAAAATATTTTTTGCGCACTTTATTCGCTGGCGTGGCTTTTTTGCGACGCGCTTTCATAAATTAGGTAAACATTTCGAAAAAAGCACATCTGACCTTTGGGGAGCAAGGTAATTTATGTACTCACCACACCAGTGTTGAATTTCCTTACGACGCATGGCAGAGTAGCAGTGCCGCCGATCTGGGCGACCACCACCGTGCAGTTGTCGGTGGCGAACACGTTCGCAGGCTTGCCGCCCGCCGCCGGGATTTTCGCCGCCGCATTCTCTTTGCCTTTGTGACGCGGTGGCGAATCGTAGCTGCGTCTACTCAGGCTATGTCCGGTCTCTTCTGTGTTTGAACCATCTTCAAAGTGAAAACCAAACAAAAACAAGGTCAAGATACATCAAAAATACACATAAGTATTAATATAAATAAATAATTTCACAATTTTTTTCTTTTTGTGAAATAATCCGTATTGTTCTTCTGGATGCGCAAAGGCGAGAAACATCCGTAAAGACCGAATGAAATCATATTTTATTCAAAGAGACTGACCGACATTCAATTCCGCAATGCACTCCCCACCATTTGCGTAGCAAAAGGACGACATGCGAAACAAAACTCTTGGTTTGCCAACGTTTGCAGCAGACGTCCGAGGGCCGAACACGTGCGAGATGAATTATTACTTGCCGCTTTCTAATACGGCTCTGAAACGTCTGTCTGGCGATGGCGGTCACTTAGGTATTATGCATTATTAAGCAGCCAGCCGTTTCCGACAAGGAAATCCATTCGTTCTTCCGGTATAGATTTATCAATATAGCACAACTCATCGCAATTGCAATTGCAAAAATCGAGGAAATAAATTATTAGGCCTATTTTTTACTTATAAATTAAAATTTCATTTCTTAGATTACCAATTATTAATACACACGTAGAGACATTAATTATTGATTATAATAGTCTAAATTGTGGGACTAGTATTTGTCGCAATCATAGATGGCACTAGGATGCACTAAAAATCATAAAATCAAGTTATACGGCTTATTTTTATATTTATCGACAATCGTGGCCACTAGAATAGTTTTGTATGCAATGTTGTTATCTGCGATTCGGTGTAAACAACGTTTTTAACGCATGTATCTCGCGCGCTGTCCCTAGCGCCGGATAAACTTGCTGCATGCAGCGAAGTCTAGTTTAGTTTAGATCACACGTAATGTGCCTATTCCTATTCGCTCACAAGGTCGCGTGCCGTTGACGTGTCGTCTTTGCGCACCTCTTGCTTTCTTATCATATACTGTCCCGTCGTAGCTTACGCAGTTTCGGCATGCACTATCGGTGGATTGCAGCCAGTTTCGTGCCGATCGCTAGTTAATCCAGTCGTGTATAGAGACTTATATCATTTATTCGGATTTCAATAATCTAAATTTGTGTTATACTCGCAGATCAATCGACTATTTATTTGTTCTTTGCGACTATAGTAATTTGTTAAATGTTCGGAAATGCCGGTGTTTGGTCGCGTTTGTTATGTACGAGTATATTACAAGTCACGTGATAGTGGATTTGACAACATTCTTCACTCGACATTGTGTTTGGTGTCTCCATTTTGATTCTCATCATAAACAAAGATCCATCAGGCTCGTGTAAGTAATTTTGAACTAAACAGCACATATTACTTATTTTGTGTTGATTGTTATTACAACATAATTCAATTGTATGAAATATTTTTGTTTTAATTTATGTTTTCGTATAGTTACAGCATTCGTTGTGCCTGGTAAGTTTATAATTCAATTATAATTTTCGGTCAAATTTGCATTTGTTGTTTATAAACAAGTATTCTTTTTATCACGTACTACCTACATACCCGTGATACAAACTAGACGACCGGCACGGTCGGACACAATTGGCAGATATTCACAATTCAAAAGGGGCAAAAATGAAAAATTGCACTTTTAGTCACGTTTTGGGTCCTTTTATCCCACGAAATTAAATTACTTTAAATACTTATCAAATGCAGAATTTCAATCTTTCATAACTTTCAATCCGTTGGTTGCTATCGCTTTTAGTTTAAAAGATATGCACTATTATCGTTTATTGACTCGAATACATCAAGGAAGTTGATTTTTCTTGTTTATTTAGTTATATTGCAATTAATCGCAATTGTATAGTTGAGTCTCATTCGGTTTGTCGTAGCAGGGTGAGGGTAGCGGTAGACGTGACTCGAATTCAGGGTACCGTACAAGAGCAGCGGTAGAAGTGACTCGTGTTCAGGGCCCCGTATGAGGTGTGCGGTAGAAGTGACTCTTGTTCAGGGTACCGTACTAGGGCAGCGGTAGAAGTGACTCCTGTTTACAGCACCGCTTGAGGGTAGCGGTAGAAGTGACCCGTGTTAAGGGCACCGTAATCGTCAAAAATTAAAAAATTGAAATTTTTTGCAGTTTTAGTCGCGTTTTTAGACCTTTTACTCCATTAAATTAAATTTTAAATTTCCATCTGATAGAAAATTTTCCAATCTTTCGTAATCTACAATTTTCTGGTTGCTATCTCTTTCAGTTTAGAAGATACTTACTGTCGAATATTGCAATCGCAAATATATAAAGCATATTTAAGGATCCAGTTAATGATAAATTTAATACTTTTGTGGTTATTTTAAAATTTACATTATGAGAGTTTATGTGGGTGGTGGGCGCACCACACAAGTTCTCTAATTAAATTTTGTTTTGCAATGGGAATTTCGGCATAATACGTGACTTAGATCATTTCCATTTTCTCGGAAGCCGTTAAGCTCGTCGAAATTATTCAACCAACACGACAACGATAGCGGCATGCAAATCTTTGCATGTTCCAACTTTCAATAGATAAGATCCAAAACAAACTACTCGAATTAGTTAATATTAGTAATATTCTTTTTCTTTTTTTGCTTTTATAATAAATAAATTTAATAGAATGAACTTCCAGGTTTTGATACGGATGAAAAACACCGCGTTGTTATTTAACCGCTCACGCTGTTGTTTTCTTTGTGTAGTAACATGAATTAACTAAATCACGGAAATGGAAAAATCACGTTAAGGTTGCCACTCACGGCGTAATGCCGCCCCCAACCGCGCAACGCTAAACAAAAAAAAAACGCTGGCAATTCAATTAAGCACTCCACAAATTATCCACCTCGGGACAAAAACAAGTGCGTTGTGCAAATGCGCACAATTTTGAATAAACATTTCTAATAAATAATTGAATTTGCGTTCCTCAAGTAGGTGCCAATGGTGCTGAAGGTAGAAATAAATATTTTTCTGCGTAAATTTTTAAAATGTTTATTTTTCAAACGGATTGTGCTCCGGGATAAATTCAGTCACTCTGTTCGAACCGAAATGAATGTAAACATTGACTTTTGCGTCATGAAACGTAACAACGTCATATGTTCGAATGCGGCATGAAATCGAGTATTATTCCGAGGTAGAAAAAATCGGGTGCTGGGTTCTGAATGTGCAATCGCAGTTTTATTACAGGAGTGCATACGTCATTCAAGTCAAATAGCCGGGGATAAAGGAATGAGTGAGTTGCAAGCGTGGTTCAAATTAGAACACTACGTGCCAAAGTAATTCCGTCAAATTTTATTGAGGGTCCCATCGTGACCCATAATGTTTTCGATCGTAAAATGGTGAAATCTGATGGTTAACATTTATTACTAGCAGTATTTGCTGAGTTGTAGGACAGATATTTGCGATATTGATTTATGCATTAAGTAAGGTTAATTTATTTATGGTTATAAGTGAAATTTCACTAAAATTTCAATTTTAAAATAAAAAAAATATTTTTTTCGAGTTTAAATTGATGGCAAATTGGTTAAAATCTTTCTTAAAACATAGCCTGGTGTAGATTTCCGGCAGTAAGGAAGTTGGTTCCATTTTCCGACCGCCGCCTCACTTCACTTTCCATTACCGCTTACACCGCGTGCGCGCTACACCCGCTTTTGTACCTACTCGTACTTGTACATCTCTCCTAGAGGCGAATGTTCGAATTCCCTTACGCGGGCGCGTTTTGCATCTTAGCCCCGAAACCAAGTTGTACGATTTGTAGGAGCGCGTCGCTCGTTACGAATAAAACTAGGACGTAATGTATTTGTTACACACTTAACGCTCGCAGGCTTCACCGGCAATTCAACGCCAGAGGAAATGAATGTAGTGAATGTAGGCGAATGTGGTTAATGCGTTGAATACGTTGAAGTTGCCGGATGCTAAGCAAACACATTCAGCCAGCGAGACAGTCTTTTCTATTGTATGAAAGATAAATTAATTTTACTCATTGAAAGGATTTTTTTCCCGGTTTCAACAGTTGTAATTTTATACTGGGTCAAATTAATTCAACATAATATATTTTCTATTATTCTATATAAAGTTTAAATATATTTTTTCTATTAAAACAACATAAAAAAAAATTCTTGTTACGAGCGTAGTTAAATAATCTGCGTTTCTGCATTCTACGCCGTAAGTTTAATTTGAATTTCGCTCGCGCGCCACAAATGAAGTAATAAGCTTACTTGTGCGAACATTCCTGCATTTCTCACCGGTTTTCACTTTGCGTAAAATTGCGGCAGCTCACCTCATCACGCCGGCAGAGAAAAAAAAAAACGAAACAAAAAAATTCTTCTCATCCGCGTAAAGTTTCTTTATTTCGCCTCATAAAGAACAAAAATTTACGAGCATATACCCCGAGACAAGAAACGTGGGCGGTTCATAATTCGTGCGTTGCCTAAACCGCGTAAATCCTTCAAGGCACAGGCACTAAAAATGCCAAAAACGGACCGCGGTCGAAACAACACACAACTCATAATAGAATACCGGGTTCGTCATGCGGGGGATTTACACGAATGTGATAGATCTGTGTATGTGTGTTTTGTGTGCATGTGAATTGATATTATTTTCGCGTGCTCTGTGTCCTCCGTGCTTCGATTCTGTTTGCTCACTTGCGTCCGCCCCGAGCAGAGCGTGATTAATGATGAATAAGTGCTAAATAATGCACGGCGGCGCAAGGCACGAAAAACAAGCCTGGACGAAGTCCTGGTTAGACTATGCTTCCAAAAACACACGCTTCTAATTTCGACAACAAAGCGAAATAAATTCAACTCACGCTGAGATTCTGTTATTGTGTGTCGCTTAATTGCGCGCCCTAATTAGAACGCACGCCGTGATTGTCATATTTTTCAGTGGAAGCTAATTTAAATAAAGTGCACGCGAATTTTTTTCCTTTTTGTAGATTTTGGCAATTCATAAGCGCAAATGTTCGCCGATTTCCAGGTCTTTCAAGTTGCGAGAAAAATGAGGCACATTTATATCGAGGGCCGAGTGCGCATAAAAAAATTAAGCTCGATT